AGCCCCGGCGCGGCGCGGGGGGGTCTTACTTGTACCCCTGCCAAATCCGCGTAAATTCGCCCGCGTGGAAACGAGACCCGGCTGCTTGCTGGTCCCGGGGGCGCTTGCTGGGCTGGGGTTGAAGTGATGTACCAGCAGCCAAGCCTGCAGTCCGCGCTCCCAGGAGATGGAACCATACCCCGACCTGGAGCTTTTCTGAAGTTAGAGACTCCGCACAGCGTGCCCGGTGTCCGGACAGTTAAACATGGCCCTTCTGCCTTTAAACGGGAGTTAAAGAAAACCGCTGCCAGCCATATATGTGAATTCATCCGTTGACGGGTTTGGTTTAATTTTTCAGGAGCTTTTTGTTCAGTATTTGGCTACATACTCCTACAAACACGGCAGGGGCAAGGAGAAGAACGCTCTGACTTACAGTGACCTGTCTCATACTGCCGAAGAGTGTGAGACTTTTCAGTTCCTTGCAGGTATCTATAGCGTGATGGTAAATCCAGTCTGTAATTTGGAAAATGAAATCTTGCTCCTACCGAATTGTTTTGTGAGGACACAATTCTCCTACTGGTCATTAATCTCCTGTATTTCATTCAACTAGAACTCATAAACTACATCACCGAAAACATGTCTTTGTGAATGGGGATTTTCCCGGTGCTTCAAAATTACAGAAGGCTAATTAGTTCTCAGCATATTGCCTTAAGCATTTCTTAAATTCCAGCAACTCCATCTGAAAGCTTTCAGCCTATAAAACAAGATCACTGCACAACTTCATGTGAGAAGTTACGTGGCCCCAGAATTACACATGTAAATCTGTAAGGCTTGTTTCTCAAAGGGGTTAATTATATGGTTCCTCTCTCCTTTTATATGTACACACATGTGTGCGTGCACACACGCTTTTTACTGAAACTCGCCTTTTTGTTGTAAAACTTTGCTCAGAAGAGGTGTTGGCATAGGATGCAGGTCAAGAATAAGATACTCCTACCCCAGTTTTTATCAGGGTTCCCTATGCACATCATACTTTTGGAGCACACAGTTCTGCTTTGCTTCAGGTCCATCATTATTGCCCTGAACAAGTATCTTAATGCAGAAAAAACGTTTCTACAGGACAAATATGGGAGAGCTGGCTTATTGAATCTGTCTGAGGTATTTGAGTAGTTGAGCATTCTATTTTACAGCCAATAAATAATGGTATGTGAGCAGATAGTAAAGACAGTTGCCAGTAAGCAGTCATAAAATATCTTCCTTATCTTTGGTTACTTGTGCAATAAGTGGGTAATTTCCTCTTATTCTTACAGCTGTATAGGTCAGACTAACTTAGCTAGTTATTCACTTAAATATTAATGTTTTTAACAATGTCTTCATTTCGTTAGAGATTAGAGATACAGATGCAACTATTTAATTAGGCAATATAAGTATTCAAACTGACTCTAAGAGAAACAATTCTACCTTCCAGATATCTTGCCAAAGAAGATCCTAGCTAGCAAATACCTAAAAATGCTTGAAAAGGAGAAGCGAGATGGAGAAGTGGGAGAAGATGATGAAGAGGATGAGGAGGAAGAGGGTGAAGATAAAGCTGCTGATCAAGATGTTGGGTCTTAAGGCCAACAGAGAATTGCTTCATAATTGATCCATTTTTTATTGTATAAATTATGTTATTTTTGTGACTGAGAATCCAGATGCTGGATATATTTATATACTGAGCCATCTGCCTTTGCTTTAAGAAGTTTAGAAATTGATGTTTTTATTTTGAAGAACAGAATTCTTCCCTCAGGAGCATGGTGGGGTAAGAAGAGCTAATACAGCAGAACTTGCTCAGATCCTTTTAAATTACTTCTTCAGACAATCATAGTCCAAATTTAAATTTCTCAAGGGCAGCTTTCAGTCCAAAAGCTCTTCTGCCCTCAGACTAGCAGGGAGTTGTTCCCCAGTTTTTGTTTCCCCTTGGAGTGGAAGATGAGATGAGGGGAGGTGTTTTACACAGTGTCTACTGTCCTCGGCCTTCTCCTTCTTGGGGAGCCAGTAACCAGTCAGACCCTCAGTCTTCTGGAACAGTGCCAGGGCATTCGCACCGGACCAAGCCCATTTAAAAAGTCTTTTGTAAAAACAGCTACTTCTGTAATGCAGCTTCAATAGCCACAGTGGCACAGAAACAGGGTAGAGGATGAGATCCATTCCAAGAGCTAATGTGGTTCTGTGGCTGTGGTGATAAAAAGGACATGTGTTAGATAATGATGTAAATACGTATATTTAGAACCTTTTTCGCTGATGAACTCTACCTTTGTGGTTTGTCCGTGGTGTTCTACCAAAATGCACGTTGCAGTCTATTAGATGTGGATTGTTAAGAATGAGCAACCCTTTTGCTATTATTTGAATGACAGACCTGGATGTTTCCTTTGGTTTTGGTTGGTTATTTTTTTGGGGGGGGGGTTTAACTACAGAAATGGTAAGTGTCCTGTGTAGAACTTTATATACAACTTTTTAAAGTAAATGTTTTGTATGAAAAGTGACAATTGATGTAGAGTCTTTCTATAGTTCTTTCCAGAAGGGGAAGGGCGGACAAGAGGCTAAATCATGCTTTCAGTGTCTCTATCAGCAGTACTAACTAGATCTAGTCTGCATTGGAGTCTTAGTTATGTTAACCAGCTAATCTCTGCCGATAAACAGCTAATGCTTGCCCGGTGTCATGGTCAGTCAGAGTGAGAGACGAGTGACCAAGATCTCTCCCTGGGTGTGAAGAATGCTCCAAACAAGCACAGGAATGTTACTGAGGAACAAATCGTCCTTCCCCAAAAAGCTGGGCAGCAACCTGCCCTAAATAGTCAGGAAGGGAGATGTCTCAAGCAAGACCCTAAGTTGGGTGGCGTAGTGGAGTTACCAGGAAACTCTGTCCTCCCTGTCAGGATAATCCTGACAGCTCCTCGTAGGTTGAAGGCAGGAATACACTGAACTGCTGTTGAAAGGAAACACAAGTCAGAAGGCTCTAGCAACTCCATAATCTGCCACGCTCCAGATTTTTTCTAAAAAAGCAAAAATGGGGGTTAGGCAGGTCAGATCAGAGACTGGAAGAGGAGTAAAACTACTGAGCCACACAATAAATAACTCTGATTATTTTAAAAGATCAAAGTATGTTGCACCATAAAAAATTCTCCCAAAGCTACCATAAATCAAAATTGTATCAGGAACGCTGCAATGAGTGCAAGGTGATGTTTTATCCCTGGAGAAATTCCCAAGTGAGTATACAGAACTATACTGCTGTTGTTTTGCTTTTTAAAAATACAATTATTGAAAGTGCATGGAGATCTGAGGGGAACTGAGGGCTGGATGCTGTCAGCTTGGAGGGGGAGGGTGCTTGCAGTAGGATATTTAAATTGTGTGGCATTGGTCAACACTCAGTGGGTCTAGTACTTGCTGGCTTTAGGGGGAGAAAAAAAAACCTGCTTGCACTCTAGCACAAAACTGCACGGTAATTCTGTAGTGTAAAGGGTAGAGGACAACAGGAGCAATCACTTGGGGCCCATAAACACCGGCCGTCACACTGGTGGTGTTGAAGAGTCACAGAGGAATAGTTTGATCCCAGAGCTGGCAACCTCTGTCGTTGAACTGGTGCTATGGTAAGGCCAAATAGCACCTGCTCCACCGTTACATGAGGTGGGTCTCAACTGAATGACCTCAGACAGCCCTGGCAAAGAGGTTTTGGTGCTGGGCACGTGTATTTTGAGGTGAAGACTGGTAAGTTTTAGGGCACTCAACCGAAATTACAGGTCTGCTTAGTTTTAGACCTGGCGTTTTCCACCACCAGTTTGGTCTTTGCAGTTGATCCAGTTGTCCATTATGCAGAACCCTCTGAAAAGGTGATTCTTCTTTTTTTAAAGCCAGTCCTGGTGCCAGGTGTATGTTATGAAGGACAGTATTGCTGACTGGATGAAAGGTACCAAAATAGCCACCAGCCCCAAGTACGTATCTCCCACCATTCATAATCTGCAGGGGCGGCTGATCATTCCTGGATTTTTTGGCACTTTGGTTCAGCTGCCACTCAGCTTGTCAACGGATTGTTACCACTGACATTTGGTAGGTAACGCAGAAACTCTGCTTTTAGACACCCTAGAAAAAGAAGAAGAAAAGAAAAAAAATCTCCAATACGTTCTTCAGTCACTGCTCTACAGCCTAGTACCTCGTGAGCCTGGGGAGGAGTCTCAGCGTGATCAGCCAAGTGTCCAGGACAAAAACCACCACCATGAGCCAGTCCATGTGTGCCTGTGCTGACACAACTGGGAGTACTGGTATCCTGGGACTGAAGACAAAATATTTTTACTGGGACATGATACTAATTTTCCCCAAGTCAAGCCTGTTTTGCCTGTGGTATTAACTCGTAAGTGATCTCCCTGTCTTTACCTCAGCCCATGAGCTTCCTCATCCTCTTTTCTCTTTCTGTCCTGGTGAGGAGGGAAGGAGCAGCTGGGGGCACGTCAACCCTCCACAACCAGAAATGCCAAACCAGCACATTAACACTGGGCTACAGACTAAAGGAGATACATTTCAAGTGAGATCAGCTGTGCAAATAGACTAAATGATACCATGGGACACTGGTATAAGATTTCGACGGACACAGCCCAGTCCACTTGCAGTGCACCTTTATCCCTTGCAGTAAATCAAAAGCCATGTTCACAAGCTATTACAAAGCTTTAGCTACAAGCTATAGGCTTTAAATGAACTTCCTCAGACTGGTCCAACAGTGACTGAGGAGCGTTTGAACAAATCAAAGCACACAGCCTGCATCTTACTCTGCAGCTGGATAGTTCACCTAGAATCCATTAACTACTGCTGAAATAACTGGGAAAGCAAGAAAAAGTGATTGTCTCAGACTTTTCCCTTTAGGTGGGGAAAACCCTTTCCAGGGTTTTCTTCCCCACCAGCACCAAGCTCTTCACTGGTGTTGAAGGTCCTGAGCAGATGCTGCACAGCTTGGGCCTCTGCAATCCCTCTGCTTTGCCACAACTGCCCCTGCTTACTTTGAAAGATGTGTTGGTTTTTTTTTTTTCCTCCTGCCAAGCTTTCAGGTGAGGAGCACACTCATGGCCCGTGCATCAGAACTGTGAGTACTTCATCCACCACAGCCTGGGTTGACACAGCCGCTTCCTACGCCCAAAGGAAAGTCCACGAGGCCAAGGCCAACCTTCCTTCAGGTACTGGAAAGCTGCGATCAAGTCCCTACCTATCCACATCCAGTACGGGAGACTTCACTGTAGACAACTAAATCTCGACAAAATTACAGACGTTTTAGGGTTTTGAAGTGGAAAGCAGCCAGCCTTGCGTATGAGACACATCGCTTTTGCTATTTTTAGTTTACAAAGTTTGCAGTTGCTGAGTGTTCCTGCGCTGCAGGGAAGCCAGCTGCGAGGCTGGAAGCTGCTGGGATTACCAGGCCTATCTTGGCCTGTTTAAGGTGTTCAGGGATTTTAGACAGTGGAACACAGGCCGGGGGATACTTTCCAGGATGAATCTATTATTACATACCTATTTCTACTTTTTTTTCCCCTACAATACTAGCTTGTGAGATCTCTTCCCCCCAGCCAAGGCTGTTCAAAGGAATTGAAGCTTCCTCAGCTTGCAAAAATGACAAAACAACTGTGGTTACTAAGTATAAATTACCATATTTCATCCCTCTTAGAAGTTTCCTGCGGGATGATGAACATATTCTGTCAATTAACGAGGCCACAAGAACTTGAACACCCTTCTGGATTCATTCAGCCAGAGTCCTCAACAGGGACTTCAGAGCTGCCAAAATTTGCCACAACCATCTCTAACACCTCGCATCTGGCAATGCTTGTTGCCATCAAAACCAGTAAGTGGTAGTTGTTTTCCCCAAGAGCTTGACACAGAGCAAAACCACATCCAATTCAAAGTAATAGCTCAAAAACAAGGGAAAAAATAAAGCTCTGCCTAAAATGGATGAGATGGCTGTGACTATTTCATACTGTTGAGTAAAACTGATCTGTTTGCAGGGTTGGGCTCCCAGCAAGAGCTCCTCAGCATACTTGCAGTTCTCTTGGTACCCCCCCTCCCCTTCACTTGATGTTTCTATTTAAAAATTGATCACTCTGGGTATTCACTCAGAAAGCAAGAAAAGGTAGGATTTCAGGCAAGTGGTTTTCAAAATACTTACTTTCCATAATATTTTCAGGATTATAACTTGTAAGGCACTCAGTTAAAAGCACCACATCTTGCCCCTGGAAATCTGGGCACAGAGCAGGCGAGCCCCCCCAGAAACGTCTGCAGTGCACCTAAGGGGTGTGGTGCAGGGGAGGGCAATGGCACTAGGAGAACTTTTTTGCTCTCAGACAACAGAGACCTTCTCTCGTCACAAAAAAAGCTTCCAGACCAGCACATTTAAATTTAGATTACAATTTGGCAGAGCGAAATTCAGTATAGTATAATGACCTCTGCTCCAGGAGGATGTCCAATGTGCCACTGGGACTTCTGTTTCTGAGCTACAGACTAAGTAGTCAATGATTTTAGATTCAATTCTGACCTCCGGCAGCAAGAAAAACACAGCACCAATGCTGTGATATAATTTATTTGCATAGTACACAGGGACTTCTTACCCATATCCTGGGATTTCTCTATTTAGTGGCATTCAGCAGCTCCTCACTCATGAAATGTCTCCCCCCTGCTCACTACAAGACAGACGTTGAGGTGCTGGAGTGTGTCCAGAGAAGAGCAACGGAGCTGGGGCAGGGTCTGGAGCACAAGTCCTGTGGGGAGCAGCTGAGGGAACTGGGGGGGGTTCAGTCTGGAGATAAGGAGGCTCAAGGGAGACCTTATCTTTCTCTATAACTACCTGAAAGGAGATTGCAGGGAGGTGGGTGTCCGTCTCTTCCCCCAAGTAACAAGCAATAGGACAAGAGGAAATGGCCTCAAGTCATGCCAGGGGAGGTTTCGATTGAATATTAGGAAAAATTTCTTCACTGAAGGGATTGTCAAGCCCTGGAACAGGCTGCCCAGGGAAGTGGTTGAGTCACCATCCCTGGAGGCATTTATAAGACGTGTAGCTGTGGTGCTTAGAGACAGGGTTTAGGGGTGGGCTTGGCAGCGTTAGGTCACCAGTTGGACTCATTCTTGAAGGACTTTTCCAATGTAAATGATTCTATGATTCTGTGATTCTTTACTCACTGTGGAAAATTACTTCAACCATGATACTTCC